GATAATGGCATATATTTGTTTTTATCTTATAGGAACGCCTGCTTTAAAATGTCTTTCTCGGGGCGCCTGGGTGGCTCAGTCGGTTGAGCAGCCGACTTCGGCTCAGGTCACGATCTCGCAGTCCGTGAGTTTGAGCCCCGCGTCGGGCTCTGTGCTGACAGCTCGGAGCCTGGAGCCTGTTTCGGATTCTGTGTCTCCCTCTCTCTGACCCTCCCCCGTTCATGCTCTGTCTCTCTCTGTATCAAAAATAAATAAACATTAAAAAAATTAAAATAAAATAAAATAAAATAAAATAAAATAAAATGTCTTTCTCTCATGAAAGTGACTCAGGCTATAATTAGATTTTGTTACTTTAATTAAGAAATCACTAATGCTCATCTAAAATAAATATGATTGAAAATGTTCTGTGGGTTATCAAATTACATGTATAATAGTTTGAGTTCATGAGATGGAGAATTTCACTTAATTAGGGACCAGTCCCACTACAGCAGAGTAAGGGCAAAACCCACTGACCAGAATTGTTTCAAGTGACTACTTGTCTCTGAAACACCTTTAAATTTTGCCTGGGAATGAAGTAGTTTCACGGTGTTAGTAAAGGCCATGTTCTAGGGTGTTTGCACTCTTGGTACACACCAACTTCCATCTGTAAATGTCAGAGCTAAGGGACTGGAGTCTGAGGTTGGTGGAGACATCAGTGATGAAGACCATCGGGGGATGCATGTTACCCCCACAGTGAGAGTCTGCAACTTAGGGTGTGCTGTATCAGGAAGCCGAGCTTCCTGAAGAACTCACCCTCAAACTTCATGGAATCATCCAGTGCTTCTCCAACAGAAACCTGGTGACAGGGAACCTTTATAACGACGCTAAAACAGTTAACAGATAACCTTTTCTTCCAGGAGTAATGAAGTGTGTGGTTGTGCACGAGTCAGTGAGGGTGGAAAGAGCTGTTTCATGGGCTTGCAAACAAGACCCACATTGTCACAAGTTTGCTGTTTCCACCACCATTCCCTGATTCCCCCCCTGCCCTCAAAAGAGTTTTAAAGTGGTCAGGGCCCTGATGTTGCCCAGTTTTGCTACCAACTTTTCCTTTTTCTTGATCCTTTGTTTCAATGTCTGCTTTCTTTCCCCTATGTGCTCACTGAAGACTGATTGTGGGGTCAAGCTATAATTAGTTTATATATGAAGTTTAATTCACTGTGGCTCTTTTGGCATTAGACTCAAATGGGCTTTGATGTCTGGCTGGAGCTTTGATCCCAGACCCTCGAATGGTGGTCATCACCCCAACTCAAAGGATTGCCCTTTATTTTTCTCCCTCCTATTTGGAGACAGCTTTTCCCAATTACATCATTTGTGTTTGTTTGGCCATAAAAGCTGCAAGGCATCATTTTGTTGCTTTGCCGGAGAGCAAAACGTGCAATTGATGCTCCTTATTTTTCCCGGCTGCAGTAGAATGTTCACTGGTGGAGAAGGCATTTGTAGAAGGATTCTGAGACTTTGGTGGGGGTGCTGGTGGGAGGGTTCTGCCCAAGGGCAAAGGGTCAGACTGTGTGATCTGAGGGACTCTTCCTGGCTGTGCCCAGGAAATATGTTGAAGCATAAACTACCCAACTACGACATATTGAGTCAAGACTTTTCCATGTTAGCAACTTTAATCTTACCCCCCAGGTGCCCCAGGTGGCAGATCCACTCCATCTTGAGTGCCACACTTTCAGGCTGGGGACTAACAGCTTTTCTGAGAAACTGAGGTTCGGGTGGGGCGTGGAAGCAAAAGAACTAACTAGGGCTGACCAATACTAGAAAGGAGATAACAAAGTAGCATCCGTGGAGGAAGAAGCACCCAGCACCTGCTTTAAAAAGTAGAGAAAGAAAAATCAAAACAGTAGGAGGAAGTGAGATCCTTCTGGCAGCAGAAGGGAGCTGTGAGCAGTGGGTGATTACCTTCAACTGCCTCCGGAATACCCGCCACCAAAACAAAGAATCAAAGAGGAAGGAAAAGCCAGGCCTAGACTGGAGAGGAGAAAATTTGGCTGTTAAGAAGAGAATAGGGGCAACCCAGCTAGTCACACTTAATCTGATGACATTGGGAGTTTTCAGAAAAAAACAAAACAAAACAAAACAACCTACACAAACAAAGAGCTACAGCATTGAGCTCCTTGCTTCTAATTTCACTTGACGGCCCAAGTTTGTTTTAATTGGCATGTGAATGAACAGCATTATTTATTAATGTGTAATGGATACTTTGGAAAGCATAACCTCTTTTTCCTATTTGTGACCATTTTACTGGTGGAACCATTTGAATACATTAGTTTTAATACTTAAACTTGCTGGGAACACTTTTTCATGGAGATGTACAAGCTGTTATGGCAAATGGTTTGCTTGGGACTAATGAGCCAGCTCCAAGTGGCATTTGGTGGGGAGGGGGTGGGATGGGGGGGAGGTTCCGAGACATAGCGGCTTGTCTGTCTGCTCTAGCAAGATTTATTAGTAGGGTGTAAAACATGTTTCAGCTTTTCTCCCCCCTCAGCTATATAAATATAGTTGTCGATGTGTGACATAACCCAGGCCACAATAATAGACTCCACCCAGCCAAAAGGAATCTAATTCAGAGCTAGAAAGCAGGAAGCTTGCTTAGAAATTAATAGAATGAGACAATGATGAGGACGTGGGTGAGTGGCCTTTGGCATGCAGGATCTGTCATTATTCCTCAGCGCCTCACTGAAGTTATGGAAGAAAATTAGTTCCTGTGTTACCGAGAAAAGTGTTTGGCACACAGTTGGCATAAAGAAGAGGTGACCTGAATAGAAGTGATTTTGTATGCTGATGAACACTTGAACAGAATTCTGTTTTTAGACCTGATAAACAACCTTGTTAATTATGAATCATGGTTGTAGTTATAGTTTCTTTTATGTCTGTGAGGGACAGCAATGGAGAGGTCAGTGGAGGGTGGCAAGGGAACTTTTGTATTTTTGTTTTGTTTTGTTTTTAGTAAGTATTGAGTTGATTCTACTTGTCGCAGAGATTAAATGGGTGCTATTAATTTAGATAGTATGTTAAGGTAGAAACAATTTACAATCAACCTCCATTTTTTTGAGTCTCTAGAGAACATCAGTTGGATCCTTGCAAGGCACTGTTTTGAGTATGGTAATACTAAGAGGGTATTAAAACAGTCTCTGCCTTCAGGCAATTTTTATAACATAATTGGAGAGAAGAAATACACATAAAACCCTACATACATAGATATGTGTCTACACACCCAGATAAATAACCAAACAAATAGCATTTGGTAAGAATCAGATATTCATGCAATTAACCAGAGTGCAGAAGAGGGAAGTGAACTGATCTTGGAGGGAGGGTTAGACCACACAGGGTAGAAGGGGCAGCTGGGCAGCGGTGTTCGAGTCTGAAATAATGATATAGGATGCATTCCTTCACACAGCACTTTGCCTGAACTTCAGCAGATTGTAACTTGTTGGATTTAATTTATGAGGCTTTTTGATGTATTGCTTTTTAAAACAGATACGTTGCTTTTCCATAGACAAGCCAGCTAGTGGCATTTCCAGACCTCTCTATCCCACTGAAATTCCCTGTGACCAGTGTCCCAAGAGGGACAGAGGTGACCATACCACAAATGCTACTTCAGGGGGAAAGTTTATAGGTCTCTCTGGAGTTGGGGGGGGGGGGAGCCACAACTCATATAATCCTTACTATCTACCAGCTTGCCACGTTGTAAACGCACACGCTCACCCCGCCCCACAAATACATATTATATAATGTATATTACTTATAACAGTAATGTACATTACTTATACTTACAACAGTATATTACTTATATAATGTAATTCTTAGAACAGGCAGGTTCTGTTAGTAGCTCCATTTTATGGTTGGGGAAAGAGAGGCATAGAGAGGCGAAGTAACTTGTTTGCACAGCTAGTCAAGGCTGGAACAGGATTCACATTCACACAACCTGATTTCGGAGTCTGAGCTCTTGTGTTTGCCCAAGATAGCAAATAACAACAATAAAAAGCCCAAACAAAAACCAAAGCGCGCAGGCGCGCGCGCGCGCACACACATTAAACCCCAGGCTTGTGAAAGAGTTGATGCAACCCCTGGCTTTACAGCGACATCCTCCTGCCTAATTTTACATGCCTTTCGTGAAAAGATAAAACAGCAACAAAACTAAGACTGAGACAGTTTTAGAACGATATCGCACTGTGCTTTGGGTATTGCCTGTCTTTACAAAGCGGAGCCAAAGAAATGGTCTTTGAATGCACTCTCAGTACCTTGCTCGGCAAGGTGAAAGAAAGCGAAGTCAGTGTGAGTGGATGTGAACAGTGGACGTGGGGGGAAAGGGTTAAGATTGTGTGCTGCAACTCGGTCGAGTTTCAGAAAGTTCTCTGGGGAGCCCAACTGCCGCGTCCCTTCGCGACCCTGCCTGCGAGGCCGACTGTAACAGGATGCTGGGGCTCGAGGCGCTCGCCCCTTGCTTTGTGCGAGGGGAAAAGAACCAATAAGGAGCGAGGCAAAAAATTGGGTGCAGTAAACCCGAAAAGGGGGCGAGGAGGCCCGCGGGAAGAGCAGGGGAGGAGAGAGGGAGGAGCGGGGAGGGCCTAGCGAGGAGGAGGCCGGCGCTGAGCGCCAGCGGCGCCCCTGACAGGAGAGGGGGAAGCCTGGGGGAGCGGGCCTCGGAGCTGAGGGGCCGGCGCGGGGAGGCGGGCGCCAGGCGGGGGTTTGCCGGGCCGCCGCGCGTGACGTAGCGCCGAGCAGGGCGTTATCAGCTGCGGGGCCGCGGCGAGGGACGCGCGGCGACAGCGGACGGCGCCGCCCGGGCCCGGACGGCTGCAGCCAGCGGCCGCGAGCGGGTCCCGGGCGCTTCTGGCCGTCGCCCCGTCGCTGCGCCCCGACTCGGGGTCGGCATGAGCCCCCGGCCGCAGCCCTAGCGCCCGCTCCTCCGCCCGGGCGGCCCGGCTGCGGTGACGGGCGCTCCTGCAGGGGTGGGGGCCATGAAGCCGAGTGCGGCCGGGACGGCGAGGGAGCTGGAGCCGCAGGCGCCGGCCCGGGGCGAGCCGCGCGCGGCGGAGCCCGAGGGGCGCTGGCGGGAGAAGGGCGAGGCGGACACGGAGCGGCAGCGCACCCGGGAGCGGCAGGAGGCCACGCTGGCCGGGCTGGCGGAGCTGGAGTACCTGCGCCAGCGCCAGGAGCTGCTGGTCCGGGGTGCCCTGCGTGGCGCCGGGGGCGCTGCGCCCCGCGCTGGGGAGCTGCCGGGGGAGGCGGCGCAGCGCAGCCGCCTGGAGGAGAAGTTCTTGGAAGAGAATATCTTGCTGCTGCGGAAGCAGTTGGTAAGCGGTGCCTGGAGGAAGGGGCACGGCTGTCCCTGCACGGGGACTGGGGTTCGGGCAGGTGGCCTGGGGGTGGGCGCGAGGGCGCCTCTGGCCGGGGAGCCGCTCCACGTTCCGGGACCCCCATTCCTGCGTGGGCGCGCGCGGCGCGTGGGCCGCCGTCGCCCACGCGTTCCTGGCGTGTCCCCGCTTTGTGTCAGGTGAGGGGCTGGCGACCCCGCGCGGATTGCCGGGAGGGGTGGCAGCCCTCCCCTCCCGCTCTGCCTTCGGGATTCTTGGAGTCGCCTGGTTGTAACCTTCAAATCTCTCCACTTCGACGAATGCAACGCCCCTCTCCCCGAATGTTTGCAAACCCTCCTTTAAAATACCCTATCTTTTGGAGGTCTTAGCTTCGTGTCCTCCCGCCGAGAAGGGACAAAAGCCGAGGAGGGGGCTTGTGGCGAGGTTAACTGTCCAGTGCAGAATTTTACGATTACGCGGAAGCGCACGTAGGGCGCCCCGCCACTCCCAGGGCTCTCTCCCGCATGCCAGCTTTTGCCCGGGCTGCTGCTTAATTTCATATAGAAGCCCTTTGTATGAAGCAGCTAACACAGATGCAAATGATAGAAATTTGGCTGGGGAAAGTGCCCCGTCCCCTCATATTTTATGTGACTGGTGGTGGAGGGGAAAGAAGAGAGAACCTGCTCTTAAGACAGCGTTTATCTTACTGGATTTCCGTCAGCGTCTCAGCCAGCCATCCTGTGCCATCTTCATTAATGGGGAAGGAAAAGAACTTTGGCGCTTAATGTATTGATGAACAGCTTTTGACCCCGCCTCAGAATAATGGCGGCAGCTTTGTTACAGTGACCTCAAAAATGTAGTTTTGAAAACAGAGGAAAAAAAAATCTTTTTTGGCCATGTGATACTGTCTGAAACTAGGCGCATGCTAGATAATGTCCCTCCTCCTCCAACAGCGAACATAGTGATGCCGTGTGGTTATTTGTCAAAGGGTTTCTTGTATTATGTCTTTTCAGATAATTTCTCTCTCTCCAGTCTCTCCCTCTCTGTCTCTCAGCATCACAGTACTTTTACTTTGGTTCATTTCTCCTGAAGAAACTCATTGTAGTAAAAAGGCATATAAGGTTTTTGTTTACAAGCTTTTTAAATCAAAGGACGGACAGGAGGAATAGATACTCCTGTTACATCTGTTTTTCAAGGATGTATCCTGCTTTGTACAATACCTATTTGGCATTTTACCTTTTCTTTGGTCGCCGACCAGATGTGCATGTAACATTGGTTTGACTCCATTCTTGCTGTTGATGCCTTGTCATTGACATTTTTCTGCATTGTCTTTTACAATAGCCCCTTTTTGTCTTCTCGAATCTCAAGATTGTGAGTGGCACATTCCTCTTGTCCCCTGGAGGGGAGCAAGGCAGCACGTCAGGAGAATTTCAGTCCAGTCAGTGTTTGTGGTACTATTTTCATGTGTAGACTTGGCATTCGCGATTTGAACCAGATGCCTTTTTGGTCCTTTTGCTTTTCCAGCAATAGGAAGCACTAGGTGGCAGTGTGAGTTAGCACTACATATCTGTCATCTTTGGAAACCTGAGTTGAGTTCAAATCTTGATGGACCTTCCCTTGAGGGTTTTGGATTTTGCTAGCTCACATTATACTTGGCACTGGCTATTAGTATTCGTTTCTCACTTTCAAAGGCCCTAAGACTGATTAAACCCCACAAAGCAACTAATAGAAGACAAAACTCTGCAGGACATTTGGCCAGAAAATCTCACCTAAGTAAGGGTATAGTGTATTGTAGGGAATCTGTTACACTCTGACTTCAAATTAAAGAGTCTGCTGTGAAGCACTGTTTTGCAAGAAATTGGGTGTACGTAGAGGATTTAAAAGAATCTCGTTGTGTTTTCTTATCCTTAACCTATACAAAGTGAGTTTGTGTAAGTTGAAACAAAAAGCAAGTCCTGTTTTTATGAAGAAACTTTATAGCACTGCAAAATGAAAGAAAGTGAAATGAAACATAGGACATATTCTTGAAGTTTGTTTTGTTTTGTTTTGTTTTTTTGTGTTTATTTTTGTGTTTTTTTTTTTTGTTGTTGTTGTTTTAATTTCAGGTCATCCAGTAAAAATTTTGGTTTTGGAAGATTTAGTGAACTTTCCAAATGGCAATTTGAGTACTTAGAGCAGACTTTCTATTCTCCTTTGTCACCCAATGTAATTCATTTCTCCCCCACAACCCAATCAGAATTGTTTGAGGAGAAGAGATGCTGGTTTGTTGAATCAGTTGCAAGAACTTGACAAGCAGATAAGTGACCTGAGACTGGATGTAGAAAAGACATCTGAAGAGCACCTGGAGACAGACAGTCGGCCCAGCTCAGGTGAGTGTGTGACACTAGGACAGAATTCTGCACTTGAGTTCTACTTCATTCCACTGTTTAACTTTCCCAGACCTGCAAAAGGCAATGGAGTTTGTTTCTAGTGCAGAGAGAATAAAAAAAAAAGCAGTCTGCCATTCAGTTGTATGAGAGGGAAATAAAACCAGATGACCAAATTTTTAATAATGAGATTGATCTGACTGGAGTCTCCTGAGTTTAAAAATAAAAGCTTCTATTCAAATTTCTGGAAGAGCAGTCCTCCTTTGAAACTTGAGAAAGTCAGAACTGGGCTAGAAAATTAGTCACACTTCAACTTCCTGAGACCACTTCAAAAGTTTTTTTTTTTTTTTCTTCTTCTTCTTCTTCTTCTTCTTCTTTTAAGCCATTTGGCTCCTTAAATAGATTTTTTTCTTCAAATTATTCTTTCTGAAACATTCATGATAAAGTTGGGGCTTTGACAGATCTAAGTCTCTTTCCTTGCACATCTTTAAAGGTGGGGTCAAAAAGGCAGGTCAGTTTGAGGGTGAGAGTAGCTTTGAAATGTATCCATAGATATGGGCTCTTTGCCTTTTCCTAAGGATTGCTTGAAATAAAACTTGAAATTCACACTAAATCCAGTGAACCAGAATCGCTCCCCACCCCACCAAAGTGTCCCCTTCCTACCTTTTCTAGATGATTAACCCTTTTCCTTTTAAACACAAATGTATGCTATTGCTTGACATGATCTTAATTCCAAATGGTGTTTTTATTTGTAGGGTTTTATGAGCTGAGTGATGGGGCTTCAGGATCCCTTTCCAATTCCTCTAACTCGGTCTTCAGTGAGTGTTTATCCAGTTGTCATTCCAGCACCTGCTTTTGCAGCCCCTTGGAGGCAACCTTGACTATCTCAGATGGTTGCCCCAAATCTGCAGGTAAGACTTTTTAGAATTGATAGACATTTTTAGCTGGAAAAGGTGAAAGGCCCTTAACGGTTATCTAGCTTTAACCCCTTCTACTGACAGAAAAACAAAAGGTCGGAGAAGTTCATCAACTTGCTACGTTTCATGACATAGCTTTATATTGTGATGGTAGCAAGACAGCTTCTCTTTAGAAATCCTGTCCCAATATTACAGGTCTTGAGCTCTGTTTGTGAGCCTTTGCTGTGAGTTTGACTTGTTTGTATTTCTTTGGAAAGCCACTTTGGATCTCTTTTTTTATAATCATTTAAAGCTAAAGCTTACAGTAAGTTAAATATGTCTGTCAGGCTGCTTGGCTTCAGGGAGCAGTGGTCCCTCCACATTCTCCAGAATGTCTTGCGTGATGGCAGCTTGTCTTTTCTTTTAGGAGGTGGGTGGGATGGGATTCCCGTAGGCCATGTGCCATTGTTTCCACTTTGGGCTATCCTTGGAGTGACCTCAGGAGAGAGTCATGCTATTGTCGGTATTGGAAGTTTCTGCATTTCCACTGTGTGTCAAACACGTACTGGATGCTCTGCATATATTTATCTCCTTTGAATCCTCCCAGTAGTTCTGCAGGGTGTGCAAGTCTTGTTAGCTCCTGTTTGTATGTCAGAAAAATGAGGTCTAGTTAGGTTAATTAACAGGTTCATTGTTTAAGGTTAATATACTAGCGAGTGGCAGAGGCAGGATTCAAGCTCAGGACCAGTTGTCAGGTCCATGTTTTCCCACCACACTAGGAATTCAGAAATTTCTGTGTTCAACCTTCTCATTGAACAGAGGAGGAATTTGGTTTTATAAAACAGTTCTCCAGGGGCTCCTCATTTTCTGAATGGCAGAATTGTTGCTGAAACTTGGGACTCCTTTCTTAGTTTTGCTTTACTGTGATTCCTCAGAAGAGCAGAGAGGATATGGAGAGCTGTAGGTGCTATAGCACAAGTCACTGCACTCTTGGTTTGTCTGTGTTCTCCACTTGGGCGTAAGGCTGAACTTTTGAGATCCAAGCAATGCAAACATAACGCCAAACAACTGAGGCTGCTAAGTGGCTGGTGTCTTTGAGTTTGTACACTGTGCTGTCAGCAGCAATCATTTGGGGAAGCACACGTCTGTGTTATCTAGAGTGTCTAGGCCTCAAGTTCATTGGTAATTGCTCCCCTTCACTCTGCAGATCTGGTTTCAGAGGGAAACTTTAAAACCCATTAAAGGCGTTTGGTATAGGTTTTCTTTGAAGACAGACTCCTGATCTCCCAAATGCCACATCTTCACATAATTGAGACAGTTGTACTGGGCCTTGGAGACTGAGATGTCGGTCTTGTTCCTTAACTGTAAGTTGGGAAAAGGGACAGAATAGTAAAGTGTGGGTAAATGTAGGGCAATGCTTTAAGTAGGGCGAGTATATGGTAGTAGAGGAGGAAAGATGAGCAACGATATTAGCTAGAAAGGTTTCTTCTCCTTGTTGCCATAAGCTATTGGGAATGGAGGTGGGGGGTAGGGACACAGCACATTTTATATTATAATAATCTTTGCTTTACAAATGAATCGTATCATTACTGGGTCCAGACTGTATTTTTCCCCAGGACTTCTAATTATCATCGAAGGTCATGGAGCTTTCTCTTAACTTAAATAATTTACACAGAATCCGGCACATAGTAAGTTTTCAATATTTGAGTGAATAAATATAATACAGGATATCTTAAGTAGTGATAAAAACTTTGATTTTCTCTAAGTTCATTAAAGGGATTTGATATTTACAACAGTCACCAAGGAAAGATATCAAAATCATTTAATTCAGCAAGAAAGCTTGATTTCATTGTATTTTGGCATTTACATTTTTGAGATGTGAAAATTTATTCATTAATACAACAGCTCAATCTCTTAAAACCGTATCAAGAATTCCTTCCCAGTTAAAAATATTGCCTTACTGGGGCGCCTGGGTGGCTCGGTTGGTTGAGCGTCCAACTTCCGCTCAGGTCATGATCTCATAGTTTGTGAGTTCGAGCCCCGCGTCGGGCTCTGTTCTGACAGCTCAGAGCCTGGAGCCTGCTTCGGATTCTGTCTCCTTCTCTCTCTGCGCCTTCCCACTTGTGCTCTGTCTCTCTGTGTCTCAAAAATAAATAAATGTAAAAAAAAAATTAAAAAATATTGCCTTATTTTTTAGTGTCATTCTTAAAAATATAAAGTGATAATTATTTACGTTTGGTTACTCTCCAGTGAAATTTGATCAGTTTCTTTGACCTTTCAACTGACAGTTATACTCGAACATATGTCATTAAGAATTGAGCCTAAAAAAAAAAAATATGACGAGAAAGCTCAGAGAAAGTACAGTTTATCTGCAGTATTTCAAAAGGAAACCAAGAATAGAACACAGAGGGCCCAGAGAAAGAATGACTCAAAAAATAAGGGTTTTTTTTTTCCTAGTTATAAATGCAGTGCATACTTACTGAAAATTTAGAAAATAGAAAATGAAGAAGAAAGTAAATCTCACTTGCTTTCTCACTACACTGCAGTGCTATTGGCATCTTGGGGTGCTTCATCTCAGACTTTCTTTCTTTACATATATAGTCTGGCTAAAATCGTAATCATAGTCTGGTATTATATCATGCTTTTCACTAACCTTTAAAGCATATCCCCATGTTATTCAATAGTTTGAAAGGATTTTTAATGGCTGAATATTTTTCCCTGGGAGGATGGAGGATGTATCATGTCTTGTTACAAATATCTTTGTTAAATATTTGTTTCCCTCATCCAGTAGTATGGGCTGTAGAGCAGCTTGCTCTCTCTCTCTCAAAAATAAATAAACATTAAAAAAAATTCTTTTTAAAAAAGGGGCGCCTGGGTGGCTCAGTCAGTTAAGCCTCTGACTTTGGCTCAGGTCATGATGTCATGGTTCGTGACTTGGAACCCCGCGTTGGGCTCTGTGCTGACAGCTTGGAGCCTGGAACCTGTTTCGGATTCTGTCTCCCTTTCTCTCTGCCCCTCCCCCGCTCTCTCTCTCTCTCAAAAATAAGCAAACATTT